CATGGAGAGATTACATTCTACAGCATATCTTATATCTTCTATGAGATCTAGAGGAAGGTGTAGAAGAAAGAAACAATTATAAAAGTTGACAAATCATTTCACTTGGAAAAAAACAAAAGCTACCACTGTTTCCTACAAGCAAGTCTCTGTGGGAATGTAATGTAAATAAGCAGTAACTGGGGGAAGCTAATATGACAGACTTATGTCTGTGACTGTCCACTGGTTCTTTCATTCTGTGTCTTGGGGACTTCATGTTAAAATCAGTTTAGCTGAATATTGTTTGTGTGCATCCAAAGTACACCATTTGCTGCAGTCTTTTTATTTTTATTTTCAATTTCTGCTTTCCAGGTTGCAGTAGTATTCCCAAAGGGTGGGAAAGGAGGTGCTCCATGCTTTTACCTAATGCTACATTCTGATGTTTCTTTCGTGGTCTTGCTCAATATCCTTTCTTGGTTCTTTTCTCGTATTATGTTATTTCTGGCATATAGTATCTATCCAAAACAGATGGCATCCTCTTAAAATTTAAACCAAGTGATTTTGTAATGAACTTAAACACTGTGAAATCTGAAGGCAGACATCCCACTGGGACTCTTAATGCTTTAAGTGCATAGTTAAGTCTCTAGAAGCTTAATGTCCTTCCAATATAATGTTGTTATTAATTACACCTGTAATCTGTGAAGCAATTCCAGAAAGATTTATGAAATAATTGCAGTACTTCCATTTCAGGAGATAGCCCTATTTCAGGCATACTGAATTACTCCTCCTGTTCTTCAGTTAATGTTAGGTGTTGTGCTGACTTACCTTCCACATCTTATTGAGGTTTGTAAATTAAAATTATTTAGTTTATTTGAAGTAAACATGTAAACCACATGTAGAAGCTCAGTGTTGTATCTGATACTTGCAAACAGGTTCTGGGAAAGGAGCTACATAACTTACTGTAGTTCTGCACTTTCAGATGTGTTTGTACTTCAGACTACATTTAATGTAAAACTCATTTAGTCATTTAGTGAGTTCAGGGATCACCGTGTTTTGGAAAGCTTTCCATTGTAGTACTAAATACATGAAGAAATACTGCTACAGTATGTTTGTTCAATGTGGATAGCTTGTCTAGAGAACAGTTGGAAAGGACCTGTGTTGGTGTGAGAGGGGTTAGGAGGATTGCAGCTTCTGCCTGGTTTCCTTTATTTGGTCTAGTTCTTTGTGTTTTCCTGTGATCCTCCAGGCTTCAGTTTCCCCAGTAGCCTTTCACAATCACTTAATGTTTGCTTTTTAATATTTGCCAAATCTTTCCTGAGCAGCTTTGCTAAACAGTGTTGGCTTTTTGCTCTTCTTGTTGAAATTTCCTGCCTCCTGCAGTGCATGCTTAGGGCAGTAGGATCGATTATGGGTGGTAGGAGGAAAACAGGAGTTAATTCTCTGACATACAAGTGTGTCTGAATAGTGCAAGCTATTGCTGGGGGTTCTCTCTTATAGTAAGCTGTGCAGTAAGGGACAAAGCTGCTTTCTCAGTTTCATCAGTACAAATATGCTAAGTAAGCAAGAGATAAGGGAATTAGGGAAAGTTCTTCTGCCTATCAGCTGCTTTCTTTTCCTCCATTCCAGAGATGTGGGAGTGATAAGATTAAATTATATCCATCTAAAATGCAATCTGTTTTTGCTATGCGTTTTTGGAAAGATGACTTCTGTGCAAATCATATCAGCAGAGAAGCAATCTTGGAAAGAGCTGGTTTTTAGCTTGTAATTCTTTTAAGTAAAAGCGTAGCATGAGATTATGTGAACTTTCTGCCAAAGGTCATCTTTGTCCCTTCTTGAGGAGTGCTATTTATGAAAGAGGAATTGGTGAATTTCTCAGGTTGGTTGATGGGTAGCAGTGGATTACTTCCAACGGACAAGCACTCAGTTTAAGTACAGGTATGAAATGGTTTGCTTTTATTGGAGAACAGTGTTAAGGTTGCGCTAGCTCTTGTTTCAGCTCTGCTGCTGTGAAGCTATGTCTTTTTTTAAACTCTTCCTTCTCTGTGCAGCAGAGATCTTTTGTGCCTCATCCACTCTCAGTGGCAAAGTACATTTTTGTAGTATTGGTGTAACTGTGGAGTTGCATTGTACTCCTTTGTGCCTTTCTTCACAGGTCTTAAATTTGTGTCCTTCACAGAACTGCTTCCATCCTGGGATTTTGTGTTTGTTCTGGAAGTAGAAGGGGGCATTTTAAACATATTTTTTTGTTTCTTTCATTGGGTATTTGGTTGCACTTTATTTCAACTCTGTGCTCCTTTTGTATCTTCTGGATTTAGTTTATTTCCCCAGCCCTTTCTCATGCTTGCTCTTTAATTACATGTAAATTCTCTCAAATCTTTCTTCTAATTTTCATTTTGTTGTCTGTTCAATCAAGTACAATGGTACAGTACTAAAAAAAAACTGTGAATACCTCCTAGCATAATTACTAGCAAATGTAGGACATAGCATATCATCTGTTTAAGCAATTCACAAAGGCAGACAAGGCTGGTGCACTCTGTTAATTTCTATGCTTTCATCTGTGACTTGACTGTTAAACTTTCTTTCTTCACTTTAAAATTTTTAGGTATATAATATCAGTATTTACATTTCTCTTGGGAGAGTTTGTGATGTGTGATTCTGCTTGGATACATGCAGCTGTTCAAACTGTAGTTGGGGAAGCATGCTGTGATTGCTTCATTCCTTCCTGCCTCTGGTGACTTCTTTCCTGGCTGGGTACTTTTTTATTATCATCAGGTTTTGTTGTCTTTCCCTCTAATTTTCTGTGTATCTGAGCAAAACCTTCAGGCTAACATAAGGGAGGGATGGTGCAGGAGTTGGTGGGAGGGAAGCAAGAGGACTCTTTCTTTAAGCAGAAATGCCTTCTTATGATGATTTAGAGTATGTGAATCACAGACTCATTAGCCTAGGGCAGCTGTCTTTGTACAGATGTGACTAAACAAGATGACCCAGGTATTGTAGTGAAGATGCTTTAAATGTACATAAAATGTATATAATTTTTATATATATATATATATACATACATAGTATTTAGCAAAGCTAAATCTAGAATGCAAATACATTGAACCAAAGCATCTTAGGATAAACTCATTTTTGAAAGCATTGCTTCTGAGGCTATTTCTACAGATCAGTGTTCAGAGGAATTTTTGTGTCTGGTCACAGGTCAGCAGGCAGTGAAAACACGGATGGAAGATGTAAGTGTGTATTTAGAAAAGGCTGATTCTGTACAATGCTGAGTGGGAAGAACAAGTTTTTATAAACAAGTCTGCAGAGGAAAATGCATGAATAGTGTTTTCTCTGTGGAATTTCTTCAATTTGGCTTCCTTACAGAGCTTAAATTGTTTGCCAGCTATTTTCTAGTATATAAAACTTAATGAGGTTGTACATAAAGCTATTTTGAAGTTGTTTTTCACTTCCATTTGGGTGTTGATTTAAGTAGGGAAAGTACTTAGCAAACTGCTCATTTCAGTGTCTCCCATTCTAACTATGCAGCTATTAAGGAGACGTTGTATGCTACTGCTGAAGTTATTCTCAGGGAGCATGTGCAATGTGGAGTATGGCATTTTTCCTTGAAAACAGAGAATTCTGTCTTTCTCTCTTCTCATTACAGTTGTCTGGCTAAGTGCCTCGTCTTCTAGCGTGTGCTGGTGACTTTAAGTACTTGGAGGGGTAGCTATAGATTGCTTTGTGAAGGCCTAGGATAAGGCATTTTTCATCTTGATTTTTGGGTTGTGTTTGGTAACAGATTTCTGCCCATCGTTTGTGAACTGGTTGTTTTGCTCCATAGGAGATGTGAGTTTCACGAGTTGAAAAGTAGCTGATATCAGCTTCTGCTTGTCCTTTTCATCGACTGGTGAAACAGGAATACAAATTTTTCTGCCTTGACACTAATTTTTTATTACTTTCACTGAAGGAAACAAACAAAAACAATTTCCTGCCTTCCAAGAGGTTATCTTTTTGTCAAAAGCAAGTTTGTTATTTTAACAATATCTTTCTTCAGATACATAGCCAGATATTGTTGAGTGTTGTGGTTTGAGTGTAGTCTTTCAAAAGTTAAGAAAAAAGGGGGATGATGGGGCTCAAATTTTGTAGTAAATTGTCACAAGTGTGGGTAAGTTTCTCTGTTAAATACACATAATTAAGGCGCGGTGAAATACAATTATGGAAATCCTTCTGTAATGCAGCAGTAGTGACTGAAGTGAATTGGTTGTTTTCATTTTGCTTCCTGTGCTGTTATGAAATGTGTTTGCTATCAGAAGCCCAAAATGATTTCTGTGCTGCTGTGTGGGCAGTGCTGCAGAGTGGCTCTCAGTGCTTTCTGTCCTTGTTTGTTGTGCAGTTCAGAAACTCATATTCTTGAAAACTTGAATGTATAGAATTCCTAAATGATAAAACCCAGTGGTAATGCAGAAGGTTATCAGTATTCCCAGGTAATTTGTTGTGGGTATGTTTTTCTCAGTTATTTATGAGGACATGGTAACAGTGATACATAATATATTTGCCTTTCTGAGAAAAAGAGGTTCCACGGAATGCTTTTGAGGGTGCCTAGGTGCAGAACAGTCAACTACAAAAGGCCTTTCATGGGGTTTTGTAACAGACGACAGAATGCTGGGTACAATTGCTGTATGGTTCCCAGACTTGAAACTTTCCCAGCAAGTTCAGTGAAAAACTTGAGGCTGCACTGCAGGCCCAGTGGTGTGAAATATGTGTAATTTCTGGACAATTCTATGTTTGTATAGTTTTGCTGGGGAACTGTCTCCCCCTGTTGTTAATGACTGTTAACTTTTGTAACAGTGTTTTGCTGTCATTTGTCAAATAATTATCATGCTTTAAATTTAGTAAGCAAAGTAAGATTACCTTAGTTACTTCATCCATTGTGCAGTTGTCATACTAGCCTGAGTTTAGCTTTACAGTCATGAAGTTATGCTGTTTTTTTCTGTGGCTTTATGGCTGACTTGCATATATCTTGATTCTTGTGTTCTGTGCAGGGTTCAGTGGTCTCAATTTAAAGGCTATTTCATTTTCAAACTGGAGAAAGTAATGGATGATTTCAGAACCTCAGCTCCTGAGCCAAGAGGGCCTCCCAATCCAAATGTGGAGTATATTCCCTTCGAAGAGATGAAAGAAAGAATCCTGAAAATTGTCACTGGATTTAATGGGTATGTAATATTTGTTGCCTAAATTCAGGATTAGGAAAATAATTGATCCTTTTTTAACCTTAGTATCCTGCTCTGTCTTTGACAGTTCATTCCACTTCCTTAAATCAGTGAGCAGAAACAAATGTACACCTTGGAAATATCATAGCATAACATCTTGTTATGCTTTTAAAATAAATACATACAATAGTAATTTATACTATAGTATTTGAATGAAAATGTTGATGTTCTTTGGCATATCCACTATCTCAGGTTTTTCATCATATCAGTAGATTTATAGCAAATACTTTGATGAGGGATAATAGCGCTACTTTCATGTTGCAGGTAAATTAGCTTAAATTAAAGTCAGATTTCTTTCAACGTGTTTTGAAATACTTAGTTGAACGGATTCTTTAGGTGTTCAGTTCTTAAACCAGTGGCAGTTCAGTACACTTTGAAGAACTAACACTGTGATAAACGTGGTGCAGCAAGGAGGCAAGGTATACCTGGTTTTGAATTGTTAAATCCTGCCAGATTCAAATTCACAGTGGAGGCAGCACTGGCTGAGAGACCTGTGCTGTTCAATCTATTGCTGACTGTGTCTTCAAGTGTGTACCCTTTGTTGCTTTTGTAATTCTGGAAATTCTGTTTTATTTTAAATAAAGCTCCTGATTTATTTTTTGTCAAGGGTGTCTTTATTTGCTGTGTAATTTTAATAGCTTGCATAGTATTTCTCTTATTTCTTAACTGGATTTTGTACTTGGCTGTAAGTTGAGTCCTTCTGCTTGTGAGACTCAGTATTTTGCTTATGAGAGACTTACTCAGCATTTTTCTCAGCTTGTCAATCAGTGGGCATACTGTAAGACTTGCCTACTCTTTCACCCTCAGATTTCAGTTTAGAGGTGCTGCTAACACATTCTTAGTGCCATGGTTTGATGTTAATGATTTTTATTGTCATTCTTCCATACAAATTAATATACTTGCAGTGTATGTGTCTTTTATAAGTCAGGTCTGATTCCCTTACAAAGAAAAAAAGCTTTAAATTGCTCTTATATAAGACAGTTTTAAGAACACGCAATTCAGCGTGTTCTCTGCTACCCAATATTGCACTACACTGAAGCAATTTAAAAATAAATCCATTCTGTGTGCCAGTCTGCCTATCTCCTGCCTCCCCCAGCTTTTTGTTAATGCTTCGCTGCCCACAAAATCTGTAACGTTCCCACACTGAGGATGCTAATGAATGGGCTGCTGTTATCTCCTGTTGTTCCCAAGTGTACTAAACAAAGCTCTGGGTGACCCAGGCATGGAGCTTACTCTGTGGCTGTGCTGTTCTCTTGTATTGCTGTACCACTCGAGAAGAGTGTCTGACTTGCTCATTTTTCTGGGTGAATCGAGTCTTTGAGGAAGTAAACTGTGTACATTAACTGTCTTGAAGAAAATAATAAATAAGGATGTTTCAGAAACTAGGATTGTGCAGTAGTTAGTTTAGTAAAAACTACAGCTCCTGCAGTGAGAATATGATTTCGAAGTCTGTCTCATATGTGATATGAATATGTGCCCAAAAATTTAACAGAATCTGATTTCAGTTTATGCAGTTGTCTGTACTTAGGCTTCTTACCATTTTGAGCCATGCATGTCATTGCAGGGTACCACGGTGGAGAATGAAGCCATTTGATATGAGTTTATTGTTAGGATGTGTTTATTAGTAATTGTTTAAAAGCAGAACAGTAAGATTTCATAAAAGTGATCTGAGACTGGCTGTTTTAACCTGGCTGTTCTAGAGTCAGATTCTCATGCTGTGCTCCAGAATTCCTTTGAAGTAGGAAGTTCTTGAAAGAGTTACTGCTCTCTTTACCTTTGTTGGTGAAGCAGAAAGTTCCCAAGTTGGTCACTGGAGACCTTAGATGGCAGGGGAGTCTTCATAGCATCCAAAAAATAAACATTTATAATCGTAATACAAATTCAATTAATGTGCTTTGCATTCTAGACATTTCATCTGCTTTCTATGTTTCCTCAGTAATAATTAAAATGTGTGGCATGTGTAGTTTGGTCTTCATTTTGAACAAGACTGAATATTTTAGCTGTAATGATGGCATTTAGGATTTTAAGACAGCAGGTGGTTACCTGAAGAGGACAGATCAGGACCACTCATGCAGTTTGTACACTGAACCAATGATCTCTCTAAGCATTGGAAAAGATCACTGCTCATACAGCTACAACTGTCACGTTAGTATTTGTGTATAGACCTATACCAATTTCAGTTCCTGCTAAAGTATTTTTAAATTACAGGGTTTTTTAAAGTGGAAGAATTCATAATTAACCAGCAGTTAAGCTAGTTTGGATTTTGCAAGCTAAAAAGATTTATAAATATTGAATAAATTATATGCAAAGGATGTGATACTGTGACACTTGGTGCCATCTACTGCTCAGTAAACAAAGTTCAGCTTGTTATGGAAAGTTTAGGAGGAAATGGAATTGGTTTTAGCTTTTATTTGAACTTTTAATATAGTAAAATAGGAGTGCAACTTTGGGCTTCACACTCTTGAGTTTGCTTATTTCTTGAGTAACCAAAACTGTACCAACGTGCAGAAGTTGTGTCATGTCTTTGAACTCCCGAAGTTCCCAACATGCCACGTTAGATACAGCTGAATAGAATTGAGCCAGGCCAAGATTCTCCAGGTTTTTTTGTATGTTTGGTTGATGAAAGATAATTTAAAATTCTGTTGTTTCTCTAAAGTAACCTGAATTTGAATGGACAGTTTAAAAATTTCAGGAAGACTCTTATTAAAAACTTTTCATCCCAAAGGCAAAATGAGGAACAGTAGGTTCAATTAGTGCTGTACCTATGTGGAGCAGTTAACAAATAGAGTGAATGGCTCTGTGTGACTGAGTGGGGGAGCTGGGAAGTTGGTTGAAGGCGAGCACTACACAGAAACTGTGTCCTGAGGAGCTTGGGTGTCAGAACACTCACTGGGTGACCAGAAGCTGCTGAACAGCAGCAATGTTTGATTCAGTGCTTTGTTGGCAGCATGCTAACTGTCTGCAGCTTATTGATGGAAATTAGCTTGACCATCTCCCATTCCTAGAAGTCAAGTAAAGATAAATTAGTATGGTGTAATTTAGGGTAAATAGAAGTTATTAACTAATTAGCAGGGTCAATGTGGTGGACAGTCTGATTTTTCAGGTAGCTCTGTTGGAGTCGAGCTAAAGGTGTTCCACTACAGCATATCTCCTTACTGTTCTCAAATTTAACTTCCTCAGTAACATATAAATGCACAGACAGTTCTGGACAGTGTAATTAGAGCCTTCATACTTGGTCACTCTCCTTGTCTGAGTTGGAGAGTTGTGCTGTAGTATGATTAATGGTAGCTGTGCTGACATGTTTTCACCAAAGGAGTGGTAGATCTGTGCATCTTTAACAATATGGTTTTATAATGAAATAAGCTTGAGTTGCTGCATTAATTAATAAATTAGGGTTAAGATGCTGTGTGTACTCAGTTCTTCAGAAAATAAAAGTTGAATTACAAAAAAATAACAGCACAGAACTGTATACATACACGTGTATATGTATGCATATTTGTATTGATGATGCTTTGCATTTGGTGTATCAGTCATTCTCAGTTAAGAACTGGTTCTTAAGTATTGCTGTATCAAATATTCTTTTAGATGTATTTTTGAAATGTTGATGTCTGACTTGAAATAGTCAACTGTAAAAATGCATAAATGATCATTATCTTATTGAATCAACGTAAAATATTTCATCATCTTGTGAGAAGTCAGATTTGTTTAAATTGTGACTTGTATATGAATTTACAGTGAAAGTGTATGACATCTCAGGTCAACATATGTAAACATTGCATACTTGAAAGGTCAGTTTCTCATCTAAGCAGGATGAAACTGTGCAGCCTTGCCAGAAAGCGAAGTACAAACTTGACATTACAGACTCGTATATCTTACTCTAATTATTTTTATTGAGATGTTCCTTGATAGATAAGTGTACTGTCCAGTTGTGGCAAAATACAGTGTTTGTAATGACTAAAGCTTAATGATTCCAGTAATTCCAACACTTAATGCTTTTTCTGTAAATGTATTTTGTAAAACATGAAATAAACTACAAGTTGAGAATTTTTTTTTTTTAGATCTAGTGTGTATGACTCAAATTTGTTTTGAATCACTTCCCTTTCTGTTCTATCTAATAAATACAGTTTTCAACTATTTTACTGTTGATTATCTGATTTCTGAAGTTAAATATTTTCCTCTTCATCATTCTAATGGATTGAGTTGTGGGATGATTTCTTTGGGATACTACTTAAGATTGTCATGGTGAGCACAAAAGAATAACTCAGTATATGAAATTAAGGGAAATAAGGCTTTGACTTATCCTGTATTGCTAATAATAACAAATTCAGTGTTTTTTTTTTTTCTTTTCAGTCCTCTCCATAAGGGGGGGAAGCAATAATATTGTTGCTTCCTTGCAGTCATACTCATTAAAATAAAATTAAATTGTTATAAATCTATTTCATTGCAGCATCCCCTTCACTATTCAGCGACTCTGTGAGTTGCTAACAGATCCTAGGAGGAATTACACAGGAACTGACAAATTTCTAAGAGGTGTGGAAAAGGTATGTATTTTTCTGAGAGAACACGCAGCTAAACCATCACAATTACTATTTGAGTAACTTTCAAATTACTGCCAAAGGTCTGTTGGTTTCAGAATGGCTCGTAGTCATAGAATAGCTGCTCTTAATTGTATGAGTTACTTCTGCACGTTTTAACATCAAAAGAACATGCGAAACAACTTATGTAAAACTTGAGCGTCAGGATTGTAGCTGTGTTTCCTAATCAGTGTAAAGTATTCAAACTAGTTTCTGGAGGGTATAATGCCACTCTTTGTATTGAATGCGAACGGAAAACAATCAAATAATCAGCTGAAATAATTTTTTATCTCTTACTTCCTTTCACATTTGGATTCAGATTAGATGGAGGAGAAAGAAGTCTTTCTTCACCACAGTGTCTTTTGTACCAGGTTTTTAAGTCCTTGTATGTCACACAGTGTACCTTCATAAAAGCACACAGATGTCATTTAATGGTGTTTCATAGTCTTGTTGAAATTTGGGATCTTTCAAAAGTAGATATCAGAATTTCAGAATGTGATTCCACATTGGATTTTCTTGATAGCAAAATTAGCTTTAAGTTTCTACTTAGAATATTCAGTCAAAGAAAGCTTAACTTTTTGAGAGTTAACTGTTAAAGGGGCCTTTTTTCACTATTATGGAGGATACAGTCAGATGGATTCTTGCAAGTTTGGAAGAATGAAGTCAGTAATAAATGGTAATACAGATTTTGCAAAGCAGTGATCAGCCAAAATGAGGTCTGTGAAGCAATACCTCAAGTTCTGTGGCAATCTTTCATTAAGGTTAGTTGGGGTTAATTTAGGTGGCACTGGAAAAAAAAAAAAAACTTTTATGCTAGGTTTCCAGGTGTTAAAATGGATTTAGTTTTCAGTGCCATTCATGAGAGAGGTAGCTAAACAAAACACAATTCATTATTTCTGCCCTTTTCATGTGGGCTCAGAGCAGTGCAGCAGTGGCAGTGTGACTGTGCCAAAATCAGCTACTCGTGCTTGGATGTCAATGTAGGACCCTGTGTGTACAAATGGAGTTTCTTCAGCAATTTAGGAGTTTTCCAGCACTGCAGAACATTTTGTTTTGCTTTACAAGTACACTTCAATTAGAAAGTACAAAGACTTAGGCCTGAGGTTTAGTATGGTTATCTTTGACAGGAATCCACTCACAAAAATGCCGGCCTTTATTGTAGTTACAGTCTTGTAGAGGGGGAGCCAAGACAAGATAATTTTTCTCTTATTTTTCCATCTGTTGATATCTCTAAAGAAAAGTTGTTTGTAAGCACTTCAGCAATTGACCAAATCCTGTAACCCTTGAAGTTCTGGACTGTTGTCAAGAGCAGAAGTTTGCACTTCTGAACACTTAACACGTTTTTTGTGTATTACAGAATGTCATGGTTGTCAGCTGTGTGTATCCATCTTCGGAGTAAGTATGATGTTTTTTCAGTTCCTTGGAACTTCAACATTGTATAAGTATAGTATAAGTATATGTAAGTAGACAGAAGAATGAGTGCCTGTGTAATATGTTTCTCTTCCTGATAGTAGTTGTATACAAAAGTACACAGAGTTTGGTTTTCAGTCTAAATAGTTAGTTTGACAGTGGTAATAGTGATCTGCAAGTGTTTATATATACCACGTAGTAGTTTGGAAATATTATTTTATTCATAACATTCTAATTCTTATTTTTTAATTTTATTTGTTTAAGGAAAAATAATTCCAGTAGTTTAAATCGGATGAATGGTGTAATGTTCCCAGGAAATTCACCAGGTTACTCTGAGAGGTAAGTTTAACCATCAGGAGTTAATTCTTTCGGCAAGGTTGTTATAGAAATAGCTGGCTCAAGTCCCTTATGTTTTTACTTATTCTGAACCCAAACAGATAGTCATGGCGTGAATACTGGCAGAGGATAGAAGAAGGATTGTAGGGATACATGCCGTACTCTTATTTGATACTTTTGTAACCTTGTTGCTTAGAATTTTTTTTACTGTAAAGTTTTTGTGATACTGTTTCCACTGGAGGCTTAGAAGTTGCATTGAGTAAAATAGGAAAGTGCACCCACCTGACCCTTGTATCTCTCAAGATCTTTTACGAACTGATTTATAGCTGCTTTCTACCTGTTAGGAGCAAATTCCTTTTATAAAAGGATTGGTTGGTTGTTATTGTTTTTTTTTTCTGTAGTTGATAATTAATTTATTGTCATTATTTTTAAAGATCAAATGTAAATGGTCCTGGAACTCCCAGACCAGTAAATCGACCGAAGGTTTCTTTGTCAACTCCTATGACAACGAACGGTTTGCCAGACAGCACGGAACATAAAGAATCAAGTTTGCAGCAAACAGAAGATAAGAAACACAGGTTTGTGAGGAGTAATGCATTTTGAGTTTTTATTATTCTCATCTTCTTTTCACTTGCATTTGAAAATACTTTAAAAGGGAATGGTCTTCCAGGTTACGTGTAACTAGAGGAGTATCTGCAGGAGGGTTCAAATATTTGCTGACTGCTTTTTGGGCTGAATAACTACTAGCTCCAATTTTCAAAGTAGCATATCTTTTAAGTGCATGGAATGTGTGGTAAAAATGCAGAGTGAATATTAATAGAGTTCAGAAATCCAGTTATCATATCTGTACCAAGATGATAAAGTGTAACTGGATGTGATATTTCATAAATGCTTGCCATTAAAGCTGACAGTAGGAACTGTCTGGAACCAGAGCAGCGTGATCACTATTTTCATCAACAATCAGGTGAAGCAGGAGTGATGATTTTGAGATTTTGTCTTGTAGTACATGAAGGAAGTTTTACTGTTTTCATGCAGAATGTTTGATTTGAAATAGCTACTAAAAAAAAAAAAAAGTGTGACAGGCTATAGAATGTCTTTCTTAAACAAAAAAAAAACCCTACAGCTGCTCTTGTTGTTTATAGTGACTCACCAGCATCTGACTCAGATGGTGCTCAGAGCAGCCCAGTAAAAAATAAGCACTCTGAAGATGATCCTGCAGAAGCGGAAGGGCATGAGGTAAAAAGACTTAAATTCGACAAAGAAGGGGAAGCCAGGGATGCACCAAACCAATCTGCGTCCAGCGAAGTTTCTTTAGGCATGGGGGAAGAAACAGAAACATCCTCTACATCTCAGGATAAAGAGAAAGATTCTACTTGCGCAAGACAGCACTGTACGGAGGAAGATGAGGAAGGTAACTGAGATATTTCTTTATCTTTGTGCATTTTCCAAGGAGTTAGGATTTCCTTTCTTCATTTCCAGAAGACTGCATTATCAGAAGACAAGTAAGGAAATGTGGGGAAGCAAGAAAAAGTGGCTTTTTTTACAGTGTCTTTATCCTCTGAGGCACTAATAAAGTGAGGCTACTTATTCAATCCAAAATTTTACTTTATTACAGATTAGGACAGTTTGACTATCCTGATCCTGGCTCTTGTGATGATGTTGGCTAATATTTTACATCTCATAAAATCTGGGGTTGTCTCTTTTTCTGCATTGTAGGAACTTTGCTTGGCATAGCTGGGAATGGAAAATAGCAGGATTCAAATTTGTTTAAAAATGCTGTAGTAATTATTGTCCTTTCATCATTTCTAGAGTCCTTCATGTCTCCAAGAAATGCTGGTCCAGACAGAAAAGATCAAGAAAAGGACACAGAGTCCTCAACTGTGAATGAAGAGCCCTCTGAGGAGAGCAATCAAATGGAGGAGTCTGATCAGTCTCAAGCAGAGAAGGATTTACATTCAGACAACAGTGAAAGTAGTGGATCTGTCAGTAGTGGAGCTGACTGCAGTGAAACTGAAGAGTTAGGGTCCTATGGTAGTGAAACTCCAGAAACTTCATCAGAAACCCCTATGGAAAACAGTGAGGAAGCCACAGAAGTTGCAGATGAACCTATGGAGCAAGACTAATTTAAATACACTTAGATGCAGTATTTTCCATAAGGCTCCGGTTTTACACTGTATAAATAATTTTATGTAATAAAGTGGACCTTTAGTTTTACAAAAGAAGCAGGTTGTAAAATAAACTTCTTGGATTGAACCTTGAAAGAGTTGTACATGGTGAGAACTGTGAATACCAGCTCCTTCAGGTCCTGCTTACCGCTGAACTTTCGTTTGGTCAAATCAGTGGTTTGTGTATAGTTTTTTTAATTTAGAATAAAAGTTTTTAAACTGGAAGGTAATTATAATTTTGACAACTTTTTTGGAGATTACCACACCTAGTTGTATGTAAGCAAGAAAGCTTTTTGTCTCGTCTTTTTCTGACAGCTATAGCAGTTACTTCATATTTTGGTTACAGTTTCAACGTTTAACATGTGATTTATGGGGTTTCATGCTGGTTTCCAGATTTTTATTTGAATACACACTATGAAACCTTATGTTGTGTGTTTAAAATGTGTTGCATTTCACTCATATATGCACGCATGCACACGTATGTGTACCCTCACTGTTCTAAGGGGGAAATGTTATATTTTTCTGTTTCTACAAAAGATAAATACAGCAAATACTTTTTCTATCGGAGAAGACTAAGTTCACCTTTCAAGGCACTTTCTTTTGCCTCTGGGGAAAAAAAAAAAAAGGCAAATAAGATCTGGCCCATATGAAACCCTGGAAATATTGTTGAAAACACCAGAGTAAACACATTCCAAGAGAACTGTTCAAATTACAACACTTTTTGTATACTTCTGAGGTGCCTGAGTGAAAGGATTTCATTTATTTATGAGAAAATGTGCTTTATGTTGAGAACGTTGTAATCGAAACATTAGCTTAAACTTTTGTAGGAGAAATGTTTGAAAATACAATAAGAAAGTATCTCGGGAGAAAGAACAGGTACTTGCCTTTTTGAGTGCTTCTTGGAGCATTGTGAATATTACAGAGAAGTCTCAAAGTTATTCTAAGGTATGCAGATGGCATTGATATGATCACGCCACCGTATTGGATGAATTAATATATGACAGTAGTTATGTACCTGAGCTAAATAACTAAGGTTTAGATGTGCATAGAAATCACCATGATTTGTATAACATTTTGGAAGTGAACTAAATATTTTTGAACATGCTACCTTGACAGCCAGTGTTACGTTTTTGTTTTTTTTTTCAGACCAGCTCAAAGCACAACTACTGCTTTCCTCTCGATATTTTCCAGTTCCCATATTTAAAGACATGCAAGCTGCAACCTCCCGGTCACAGTTACTGGCTGCCAAATTTATACCTGTTTTCTTCAACTGTACCTTTTTGATATTTAGGATTTTTAAATTTCTGTAAAGTAGATTTTTGTAGATTGTAATGAGTGCTCACTGCCATTGTGAAACGGTATATAATTGTATAATTTCTGTGTGTAAACTGAATGCTTGGGCTTTCAATACAGTATTCATATAAAGCAATAAATATAAATGTTATGAAACATCCGAGTACATTTTTATCAGCATTGTCCCTTTTTGGCTTTAAGTTCGCATACCTGAAGTACAGAAACGACCTGAGATGCATGCTGATGGTTTGTTGTACCACACGGTGTGCTCTGTGTCCCGTAGGAGGAACCTTGCTTGTGATTGTTAGCAGGACAGTTTGGCCCAGGCTGAATATCGCAGTTGTGCCCTGCTGGTGTTACTGGTTTGTAAGCAGGCAGAGGATTTGTGGAGATGCTTGCAGAGAGGAAAACCCTCTTCAGATTCAACCAGAAGGCAAATTGGACTTACATTCACTGTGCTGAAGGGTTGGACGTGTATGACAAAAGACTGATCCAAAATGTTGCAATTAGTTTAAAAAATGCAGTGACATCTTTTCTCTCTTTGATTTCTATTTTTCCTCGGGGAGGGGGGTGTATTTTGCCAATGAGAACAAAATTTTAAAATTTCTAAGTTTAGAGATCTCTGAGATTTTCTTTTAGGACGTTTATTTGTGATGGTATTGTCAATAAACTTGTTCTTTAAGCACCTGTGACCCCTTGCTACGTTTGTTTTCACTGCTGTGCACGCGCTGTGCTACGGCTCTGTTCGCGTGTCCGCCAGCAGCGGCTTTATAACTGAAGTCAGAGCTTCACTTCTTTACAGTAGCTCAGATTTCTGCCTTGTTGATGTTTAAACCTCAGCTGCGCTGATTACTGCGCTGCTCTCGGCTTTCTAATAGAGCGCAGCGCCCCAAGGCTCCGCGAACAGCTGCGGCGCCCGCGCTGTGCTGCTGCCCGGCAGCGCCGCCTGGCGGCACGCGCCCAACGGTCCTAACGGTCGCTGCTCCGTGAGGGGAGCGCGGAGGCTGCGCGAGGCACGGCGCTGAGCGGCTCGCTCTGCTCGCTCGTGTCCTGCATCGCAGTACCGTGTGGTGGTTCTGTCACACGGTGAGCGTGGACGCGAGGCTGGCCCGCTGGAAAAAAAAAAAAAAAAAAAAGGGGCTGTCTGTGCTGGCCGCGTGTTGTAGGACTGCTCCCAGGTGGAAGCTGCTGGAACGTCGCTGTAGCGAGAGAGCTCCGCAGTCCCGCTTACCCCAGAGCTTACCCCGCTCTCGGGCGGGATGTGTGCTGAGGGGTCTGCTGCCACCAAACCCAGCTTGTGCCCTTGTGACGCTTGAGAGGGGATCCCGGGGATCCAGCTGAGGTGTGATGGAGCAGGACGGGGTGAGCGGGGTGTGCTTACATCACCGAGGGACCCACCAAGGGTAGCACCCAGCACAGCACCCAGCACCCAGCACTGCACAGCACCCAGCACAGCACCCAGCACCCAGCACAGCACCCAGCACAGCACCCAGCACCCAGCACAGCACCCAGCACTGCACTGCACAGCACCCAGCACAGCACCCAGCACCCAGCACAGCACCCAGAACTGCACAACACAGCACCCAGCACAGCACCCAGCACAGCACCCAGCACAGCACCCAGCACCCAGCACAGCACCCAGCACTGCACCCAGCACCCAGCACAGCACCCAGCACTGCACTGCACAGCAGCCAGCACAGCACCCAGCATAGGGCAGCACAGCACCCAGCTCAGCACAGCACAGCACTGCCCAGCACAGCATAGTGCAGCATAGCACAGCTACCAGCACTGCACGGCACCCAGCACAACATCCAGCACAGCACAGCACCCACCAGGCCTGACTCCCTGCACAGTGGGGACACAGCAAGACAGAACCTCAGGGATGGGCAACCCTGCTGTGAGAATTTCACCAAGCATTCAAGGTAAGTAATCTCAGCAGCAAAGCAAGCTGATATTCCCTGCCTCATTCCAATCCCTTCTGTTGGTCACAGAAGAGGGAGGGGGAATTGGAGCTTAAAAGCAGGATGGAGAAGAGGGGTTTTCTTGTGCAGCTGTTTCTCAGCCATGCATTTCTGTGTGGATAAGCAGTTTTGTCTTTGGAACACCTGTAGGATTCAAGACAGGCTGCAGATTGGCAAGCAGTTTTCTTTTCTATAATCTTGTGGAAAACAAAATGTGAGCATAAAATACAAAAGGTTGACAAAAATACGGATCTTTTGTGGCAGCAACACAGAGATATGTTACAGCAATGAGTGTGGAGTTGGTTAGCCCAGCAAAGGACTGGTACTGCCCTTGAGGTCACCAGAAGATAGGGACTCCTGAAATAAGTGAGCAGGGAGAGAACACTCATGTGCAGCCTAGTTCCTATAAAGAGAAACCCGAGAGGGGAAAATGCAGAGTTGCTCTCTGGAACATGAGGGCAATGTGTGAGGAAGGGACTGAGAATCCCAAGATGCCGGGCCTTGGGCTGCGGCAGTGATGCAAACCCGAATTCCCCTGGTGACGCACATGGCTGTGGCAATTGGCAGAGCTGCAGCAGGGCCGTCCTGGAGGCCAGGGGCTCTGTCACAGCTCAGCAGCTACGTTTCAGTCTGCCAAATGGGGAAGAGGTCTGCAACAGCTGACAGCGACACTAAAACTCAGCTGACCCTTCCAGGAAAGACCTGGAAATCCCTCAGGCTTCCTTTCATCCTGTTTGCGAGCAGTGCCTTCCGGTGCCCGGCTGGCACCGAGCAGCGGGCGCTGCTGTCAGGGAACAGCTGCGGGGACGCCCCCCAGTCACAGGGCTGCGCAGGACCGGCTCTGGGCTGGGGCTCCGGGCTCGGCGGCTCGGTGTCCCTTACCCTATGGGATGGGCAGCGCGGCGCTGCGCGGGGTGGCCGGCAGGGGGCGCCATAGGCCCGGGAACGCACCGCAGCCGGAGCCGCCTTCCGCGCCGACCGAGCGCTGCTGAGCCTCGCTGCTGAGACGCTGAACTGTGCTGCAACCGCAATGCTGCCAAAACCCGTGCTCTTTACTACTGAGAAATTAAACTGGTTTCTTCCACGTCGGGATATCAGCTTCCAAATTTGTTTTGTTTTGCCTTTGTTTTTAACTTAACAAACGTGGGATTCTCTTAACATTTTAAATCTTGTCCCTTTTAGGTTCATGCATTATAAACTTCTCTTTTAACCTCTACCTTTATCCCAAGTGAAAGATGAGTAGCTTTGGTATTAAGATCTCTTCCTTTGGAGCCACTCCCATCACTTGTTTCATAGTTTTTTTTCATATTATTTACATACATCTTTGCTTACAAATCAGTCCCAGTGCTCTTTTCTGAACTTTCAGCCCTGTGTGGCATTTAATTAATAACTTATAAAGATGCTAAAGAGACACAATAGGTTTTCCATCAGGGTAAATAACTATTTGTGAGACAGACTCCCACTTTCCACTGGCGTCAGTTATCTCCTTGGGAATCTTAACAAGGAATGACTGTCCGTGTTTACATGGGCCTCACTCTGTGCAGTTACCACACCCAGGATCTTGCCTACATGTTATGATGCTGAGGTGTCCTCATTCAGCAGTCCCAGGTAAATGACTGCACTGCATGTTCAGTGATTCTAATAAACTCCTTGGAGTAGGTTGCTGACATGTATCTTTTCCCTACCAACACAAGTGCTCTGATTGCTGGGTTTTTGGGTAATGCCCAAACTTGCTCTTCTTTTTTTCCTGAATCCATACAACTTGGACTCTGTTTCTGCTGGGAGTAAAGTAAAATCTTGCAGACAATACATAGCTTCTCTTATTATGATGCATTTCTTTCTGTACAATGCTGTAACTTAGAACAAAATCTACTTTAAACAACAACAAGAAAAGCATTGTTTGTTGGTTTATTTGTGTGTGTGTGCTCTAGGAATCTCAGAATACATCTGTACCTCTCAGAGTCTTATCAGTTTCTTTTTACTTCTGTTCTTTTGATTATTTATTCCTTTCTACATTCTCTTTGACTTTCAACTCAGTCAAAGAGCTGTGCTTCATGTACCAAAGGCCTTCCTCTTCAGATCTCTCTTTCTAACTGCAGGTCTTGGCTGTCTTGTTTAGATACAGGCACTCAGAGGGATCTGCGTGTGGCAAGGACTAGGACACAGAGCAGAGTCTCTGTTTAGAGCTGTGGCATTTGCACTGCTAAAATAGAAAACTTGGCTATGTCACCTTAAAGGGTTTGTTCTCGAAGCACAGAAGTTCTGCATTACTGTGCAAGAGAATTCACAGAGTCCTTAGGCAGGCTTTCTCACTCAGAGGAAATACCCTCCATAAGCACTTGGAGCTGTCTCGTCTATCTGTGTGTGAACTTGGAGAATTATGAAGTTTGAGAGCTAAATCATTCTAGTTGCTAAGTTACCACCTTTTGAACATAAATATTTTTGTTCTGCCAATTTAAAATGTTTACAGTGAAGGATCACCTTTATAGATTATTAAGTTCTTGCATAATTTTTAATTACTAAAATGAACTTTCAATTTAGAAACTGAATGAAAAAACATTAACCTAATCTTTGCATTTTTCTCAACCTCTTTGTAAAAGGGGCAGCATGTAGGCATGCCTTTTGTAGTGCCTAGCAATAAGGCTGCAGCCACAGATCAGTCACAGCTTTCTACAGTAACCCAAGTAAAAACAGAAATTCAAAAATGATTCAAACTTCTTTGGACCTTGGAAACTGTGGACTTTGAAAGCAACCCTTCTGTACACATGAGTGTATAGTGAGGATCTTTCCTGTTAGTATCTCATTTATTTTGTCTAAGAGTATGTCTGTTAGCTGGTAGCAGGAGAAATTCATCAGTCTAGCAGTGCTGGAATAGAACAGAAAGAGGCTGGACTTCTACAGTGTTTGAATTTTTGAATACAGTGGAATTTTTGCTGTTTCTGTATCGGCAAGGCTGATTATGTCTTCTTTCGGGCTTGACCTTTATTTAAAAACAAACAAACAAACAAAAACTATTTTTAATTCAAAAAAACTTGCTTTTTCTGTTTCTGCTGAAGTAAAGTGATGTGATGTAGCAGAAATGCTAAATCATGGTTTGGAATGGTGATTGAGCACCTGGTGGGAAGGCAGAGCCAACCCAGGGGAGCTCAGGTGCGTGCAATGTACCGGAGTGATGGAAGGGGTGGAGCCAGGATCCACACCTTCCCAGACCTCATTTAAGGGTTTGCAGTGGAGGCAAGAGGGTTTTGCTGGAGGTCCCTGTGTGCCTGAGGCCTTCTGAAGGTAAGCAGATGCTTTCCTTTATTTCTGTGCCTATGGTTGTTGCATTTAAATGTGTTCTCACTTGCTGTAGCGTTGGACCTTGCTGCTGTGCTTTCTGTTGCATTACAAATGTATTAAGATCTGATGCATTAATAAAATGGCTGGGGCGCTAATGTGGCAAATGAAGGATGTGGATTTGGAAGGAGGGATGAGAGTTCTGACTTTTATAATTCTGGTCTAGAGAATCAGGTGCCTTGTGACAAAGTGGTGGTTTTTAACTTAGCTCTCTTGTTAGGTGGCACACTTTAGGAAATCTGATGGAAGGACTCTGGGCATAGTATGATGTGATGCTACTCTTCAGTGGCTTTGGGAAGTGTAGCCCATTCTAAAGGAGAAAGGAGGGAAGAGCTACAGATCTGAAATAGCTCCAACTGAGCTTAAGCTAAGTAATTCTGGTCTTTCCAGACCTTCTACTCATGGAAATAGCCCCCCTCTCAGAAGGATCTGAAAATGGATGAAAGGAGGAATGTATACCATGTATTGGCTGTCTGGATTTATGCTGATGTTGTGTTCTAGGAAACTGCAATGTTATGGAGTGCAGCATCTTTAGGGAGCAGTATGGATTTGATGTTCTTTTCTGAACAAGAGAAGCAGCACAACAATACACTCACTTCCACATAGAAGTATATTCTCTTCATGAGGTGTTAGCGAGCATTTCTGTAGTCTTAGGATCATTGCAGGATTGTTGTGTTACCACTGGGTTATACAGAAAGCAACCAAGTCATTTCTTTAGGGAAGTGAAGTGTGAAAATAAATAAATAAATAAAAAGTGTGAACCAAGTGGTTACTGTGGAGCATGAAGTAATTGTTTTGGTTCGATATTATGTAGCTGAACTGAGAAATATAGGTGGAAAAACAGATGAGTTCTGTTCCAGGCTGTCTGATACATCTGTGCTCTCCAGAACAGCTGTGCAGCAAGTGTCTGAGCTCTCTGTTAGTGACCTGGACTAGCTGTGTAGGGAGGAGAAACGTGCTGCCTGGCTACCAGGTGTGATAGCATGACATATGTGTCCTGTAGGCACACTGTTCTCTTGCTCTGTGTGCATCCTGACCTGGTAAATACTATATTGATTGTTTATGTAGTATTTTGCCATTAGATCTGGCTTTGATTTTGGTATTATTTTTTACCTGTGACTTTGTCAGTTCCCAGCCTGAAGGAATACATAACCAGATTTTTCTTGCTCCAACTGGGCTGTGAAAAAAAGCAGCTCATCTGGGATGGTAACTGCTTCAACTTGTGTGTACATCCCAAAAAAAGCTGGGTTTGATCTACAAACCCTAGAAGGGTCTTGAATGTGAGTTCTGAAGTCTTTTTCATGGAGTTTATTGAAAAGTCTGAGAAAAGTCAGCCGACTTCCTAAAATGGTTGGCTAAAATGACTTTCCCATATGGCACCTTCTTACAGGGATAAATATCTGTTGCAGACTTATATTTCTTCTGCAACTAGTGACAGACTGCTAGCTGCTGTGTCCAGCACTTGTGTGTGCCCTCAGCCTAACAGTGGAGCTGAACTGTGTGATGTGGTCATGCAAGGCCATGGATGTTCTCGTGTGGTAGGTATTTGCATCCATGGATATCTCCTGTTTCTTGCAGAGTGATGCCAGGCACTGTTCTGCTCTACTTCTCCTGTAGCAGTCTCT